CCCAGTTGCTTTCGTGTCCAAGGCAGAACTAGAACTCACAGTTTAGTGAGTTTCTAGTGCCTTAAGCATTAAACCAAACTGACTCTCAAACCAATATTTTAACAAAATAAGGGATCTTAGCAAGTCATTTTGTCTGGCGAGCCAAACCTGTTGAAATATCCACTTTCACATAGCTGAATAAAGATAAGGAGCTTGGATTTCTTTTCTTGTTTTAGCTACCTTGCCTGGTCTATTCGAATATCCAGATTAAGCAATAAGAATCCCATGGATGTAGACTGGCACAGAACTAGCATCCTATTCCTACCGAAAGAACCCCGCATGTAAACATGGCAGATCGGAGTCCAACCTGCTTATTACTAATGGTAGTTAGGTTTCCCACTCAACTCTTCCAGTAGGAAGCTTTTGAAAATGGAATTCTCCAAATGCAGCTTGAAGTCGATAGCCTCTTCCTCAACAACTTTCAAGAATTCTTGAATGTTTTGCTCTAGTTGGATTATTTTAGCTTTATCATTTTTTAACCTACTTACAAAATGGTGAAATTGCGCTGCTCCAAGTCATACTGACTGACATAGATGCTGAAGGGATTAATTAATAACACACAACCTACTGCCAACACACATTGCTTGTATTGGTATCTTCAGATCAAGACTGACAACCTTTCCTAATCATGGTATACTCCCACACGCTGGAAACATCTCTCTCACAGACACACTCCTCTCTCTCTCTCTCTCTCTCTCTCTCTCTCTCTCTCTCTCTCTCTCTCTCTCTCTCTCTCTCTCTCCCTTTCCCTCTCCCTCTCCCTCTCCCTCTCCCTCTCCACTCATCCAGGTCATGGTTGCCCCATGTTCTGAAGAAGCTTCTTGGATGAGAAGCTAAACATTTTCAAATTGAAAGCAAAGAAAGCCTGCTAGGCTTTTGGTAAAGCATCTTCGGGACTCTCTCCCCGCCTGTTCTCTTTCTCTTTCTTTCTCTCTTATTTTCCACAAATCCCCTTGATGTTGACTTAACCACATTCCCAGCTCATGGGTGTGATCAGGCCTTTTTTTTCTCATAGAACGCCCAGAACGGAATTCCGGCACCTTTTTTGGATGGAACCTTGTAGGGTAGGCAAGGCAGCCTGTATGACATGTGTGAGTTCCGGCACCCTTTTTTTTTTTTTTTTTTTTTAGAAAAAAAAGCACTGGGTGTGATAGACTTAAGTCATCGTTAAGTGTACTGGTATCCAAGTAATATTTTTGCTCTTGGCCTAACCTCATCAAAGGATAAAGGTGGATAAAATTTGTTAGGCTTCACCATCTAATAATACCTGCAGATGACTTGAAATAAGGGCAAGGGGGGAGAAACAGTAGATTTAATGCCAATATAGATCCTTGTCAACTCAAGGATGCGTAGAGAGCATTTCATCTGAGCTCCCGAGTTCATTTAGTGAGCTTATTGTGTACTATTTCAACCCATCTGGCACTGGCCCATACTTTTCTTGCCACTAATAAGCCAACCAAGCCAATTTCACTTAGACATTGAGGTGGTCTCCCATGGAGAATGAGACACGCACACAGGTATCTCGGGATGGGAGCCCAGAGCTGACTCCAGCACCCTATTTTATTGTTACTAAGGTTTTTACATCACACAGCGTAAGCAAAAGATGTATATAGGGGTGGTTACAATATATCAAATAACAGACACTTTCCAGATGCAAGGCTACAGCAGGTGTTCTTATCAGAGTCTGTCCAAATGGTTGATGAATGCATCCTGTGTCTAGGTCAGTTTGTTATCTCTGGGGCCCTTGTGGGAGATGTCCATGGGCATTTGTGCAATTAATCCCACAGACATGAGTGCTTCATCCTTAGAATAGTTTCTTCTAGCCTATTTTTGAAAGCTGAATATTTCCCTGCTAAGACCACAAATCTTCTCCAGTAGACACTAGAGCTGCTATTCCAATGCAATGCTTCTCCTAGGCCAGGATCAGAGCTGTGCTGAACCACGTGGATTGTTGAGATAATCAAGGACTGATTTTGTGATTATAGTTTGCAACATTGCTCTGCAACTATGTAGTTGAACCTGAACGAGTGGCTACAGGAGTAGTATGAGTAATTTTTAAAAAGGGATATTGCAACCTGATGCATAGTCGCAGATGTTCATTATAGTTACACCTACAAGGGTGTGCATAAAAAAATTAGCAAGAGAACTTATAGGAGGCCCCTGAAATCACGTAAAGAATTCCAAATAGGTTCTGGAAATAGACATCACCACCATACATTTAATCCTATATCCAAGCTGAAAATCTCCAAGCTTTATAAAACCAGACATACTTTTCTTTCTTCTTGATGCATTGGATAGACATATAGGTAATTCTTAACTTACGACCACAATTAGGACTGGAAAATATACATATAAATAATGCAATTGTTAAGTGAAGCATTATGTAAGTGCACCCAATTTTATGAACTTTTTGCCAGGGTTGTTAAGTGAATCACTGTGGTTGTTAAGTGACACATCATGGGACCATGATTTGCAATCTTCCCTGCCAGCTTCCCCATCGATTTTGCTTGTCAGAAGCTGGCTGGGAAGTTGCAAATGGCAGTCACGTGACCACAGGATGCTGCAACCGTTGTAAATATGAGTGGTTACAAAAGCCCAGATTGTGATCATGTGACCATGGGGATGCTGGAATAATTGTATGTTTGATTTACGATTGCAAATCACTTTTCTTAGCATCAATATAACTTCAAGAAGTTGCTATAGAATGATTATAAATCAAGGATTACTTGTAAAATATATACTGAATTAATGAAACAGATACATGAAAATGCTGCTTAATCGATTAGCTTGGAGAAGAAAGAAGTTTTAAATAGGATTTAAAACTTAATTTAATTATTAGATTAATAGGAGTGAGGACAATTTTGAATATTTTTACTTGCAGTATAATAGGAAATGATGCAAAAATGTTATAAGCTATTTAATTTTCACACTTTTCCGATTCTAACGTGCCTCAGGGTTGCTGTACAGTTCAGCCCTCACACACACTACAAAGTGATATATTCTAAGATTCAGACCAATCCTGAACTTGCAATATGGATCTAAGCCTATTATTGAGCAACATCTCAAGATTACTATTATCTACTCAGAGCTTGACAGAGAATATTCAGCATGAAATGATCTACTAAGTTATCTTTTCCAGATGCTGCTTCTTCCAACCTATTATGGGAAGAATAAGCAATATGTGCATTAGAATTTACATTATCAAGTATTTATTTTTTTAAAAGTGTTTTTTATTCAATAGCACCTGGATTACAAAAAGAGGCTTTTTTTCCTCCATTTATATACAATAAATGGATATATTGTGGAGAAGCAAAGTGGGAAATGCCAACTTATAAGAATGGAAGTAAAGATGGCATTCATTCTGATCCAGCTGCAAGAAAACAGGATTGTTTTATCTTGCATCTAAACCAATATAATTCTGGGAGTGCCTGATTTTACCATATGGAAACAGAACCGAATTTTTATTATGAAAGTCTTGTAATGTACAGGCAATATACAAGCATCATTTGTCATTTCAGGTAGATATTAGAAGTGGCTAATAATTATGTTCTTGCTCATCACAACCTCAACAAGTTTAGTCAGTTATGTTTACTTAGAAGTATGGTTGATTGCACTGTCCATATCTGACTTTTCTTTAATCCCAGCTTATTATGTGAGATTCATCTAAATAATTAAAGCAGAAAACAAAAATAAATTTGCCAAGTCCATTTGAGTTTAGTGTGTGGCTCAAAACCATTGTCTATTACCTTATGTTTCCATGTGTGTTGAAAACTCAGAAAATTGGGTTGCACCATGATTATCAAAGATGGTATGTTGTTTAAAGACATTTGTAAGCTATTACCAACCCTTCAAACAATTGTGTTCATATAACATCCCAAATCAGGTTATGTCAAAGCCTAACAGCTTCATTCATACAACTTGCTAAACTTGGTTAGTTTTAATTATATTAAGGATTTTCTTTTTTTTCAGTGATTTCATGTATTGTGTTTTGGTAAATTCATTGGGTTCTATAAACCTTATGAGTTAATTCAGGATCTAGGGTTGACAAAGTCACACGAATACAACCAGTTTCTTGTTTTTGTCCAGTCTGGACCCAATTTGTTGGGGGCAACATGCAAATAATGCTTCTATATTGTAAACCACCCAAAGAATGGGGTAAAGCGCTATGGGGTGGTATATAAGCCTAAATGCTATTGCTATCTTGGTTGCTGGAGTTGAAGCCTTCTCTGTCACTTAAAAATAGGGCCTAAAGTAAGCTCTCCTTCAAGTTGAGCTTGTCTGCAGCTAATTCCAGAGCCAGTTTTCGAAACATAACACAAAATGGAAATAGTCCATTACTGCCTTCAAATGTAAGATTTAATTGAGAATTGTAGGATCACCTGGTGGTCTCCCACTATTCAGATACAAGGTTGCTCAGTTTTTTAAGGTCAACAAAGTTTACAAAGGGGAGGCTCTCTAGCTGGGTAGAAATAGAGCACAGTTTGCTAATCGTAATCCCAAAAGCATTTCCTCTCTCGCTTTTTTCAAAAAGTGAACGTGGGGAAAGAATGACATTTTTTTACCAGGATAGTGTCTATTCCCTCAACACTCTGAACTAACCAAATCCACATTGGGGCAAGCCAGCCTGGTTAGGAGCCCAGTTCCGTGGCTGTTAATACCCAGACTCACATCATCCGAGTACTCAAAAAAAAAAAAAAAATTCATTTTGCGCAAGGCGCAAAGTCACAAAAAATGTCTACCCGAGGTTAACTCAAGCGCATTTCGTCAGGTAAGCGTGGGCAAACGCGTCGTGCGAATAGGCCGAGTCCCTTTGCTGCGACTGTCGGCAATTAACCTGAGATAACCTTCTCCTGGCTGAGGAGGGGAGGGGAGGCAGGAATTTGGCGGCGAAGCCTGGACTAAGGGTTACCCAATCACGGGCGGGTCATGCCACCCAGGGCACTAGTTTGTGTTCCTAACCCCCCTGGTTGTGGTTGTGGCTAACAACAGCTTCGGTGAGAAACTCTGCAAAGGAGGAGGCCGGCAGTCTGGAACTGGGAAGGAGCGGGAAGGTGGGCGCAAAGGCCGTCCCCACCGCAGCCGGGAAAGGGCGGGCGGCGGGCGGCGCCGGACCAGCGCGCTCGCCTTTCCCCCTTCCCGCCCTGCCGCCACCTGCAGCTCCGGCTTCCTCCGCCTGGCGTAACTCTTGCCTCTACCTGGCGAGGCCACGTCAGGGGCTCCCGCTCCTGCTCCCGCCACGGCCGGTCGCTCGGATCCTTCCGCACCATGATCTCTGCTCGAGGCGGGGGCTCCATGCCTCCGCCGCCCAACGCCACTGCCTATTATCCCCCGCCTCGCGTGAATCTGCCCTCCGGCGTGGAAATCCTGCGCACTTACTCGGGGGCCTTCGTCTGCCTGGAGATCGTGAGTGCCGAGGGCCGGGAGGAGGAGGGAGAGGGGAAAGAGCCAGGGGCGGTGGAGGGGCAACAGGTGGTACAGGTGCTTCCCCGCCAGCTTTGGCCTCTCCCCGGCCATCCCTTTAAGTGGGATCGCGGGAGGGAAGGGTCCCCTCTTCCCTCGACAGGCGTCTAGGAGCGCCCTTGCTGCTTGCTTTGTTTTTGGCCGAGTCCCCTTTAAAGAGAAATCAAAGCAAACGATGGTAGGAGGACTGGATCTGGTAGGTAGCTGGGTAGATCAAGAAAAGTTGACTTCCGCGATTGGAAAAAAAACCCGACTACGCACAGATCGGTCTTGCAGCCAGTTGCTGGGAAGCAGATACACCTGTTGGATTCTGCACCTTGCATACAGCTGTCAGCTAAGGAGAGGAAAACAGCTGCCTGGCCCTTAGTCCCAACTTCTGGTCACATCATTCTCAAGCTCCAGCTTTTCTCAGTTCCTATTTATGTTACATATTTTTTTCACCAAGGCCTTTACGGTAGAATAGATCTATTTTCCCCGTTATTTTTCTGGTGGCAAATGCATTTCTAGAACTGCCTAATAGATTAAGCAAAGATAAAATGGAGGCTGGGTCTAGCATATTGTGAGTACCCAAATGTTTTCTTATCATATGGTTTGAATATTAAGTCCTGACACGGTTTATTGATTTGATCATGGCATGATAGGTGAACACAGGAAATAAATTTGTTTTTAAAATTTAGATGATCGTGGGAATTCACTTTATTAATGTATCCTTTCTTACTCATTTGTCCATTAGACCCTCAACTTCCACTCTGGTTCTCCCTGATCCACTTAATTAAAAGCTTCCTGCTCTCATTTAATTGTAAATCCCCTTTGCCTCTCAATTTGGATAAATTAAGACATCAGGTAATTTAGTCCAGTTTTATATAACTAGCTTCCTAGAATCTCAGGTGGGGTTCTCTTCCTGCTTTTGTACCTGAGGAAATTTATCTCTAAAAGCCAGGATGAGACACAGCACCCACAGAGCATCTCCTCTTCAATTGTACCTCTTATTCAGCCTTTTCTATAGCATCACACCCTTTTTTTTCAAGAACAGCTCGCTTTGTTTCCAAACCAGCACAAAAGGTGTTGTGGTGATGACAAATGATTGCGTGCCACTAAAGTCAGTCAGAGGTAGGATTTGCCATCACTTCTCTTTAATAAGGTTCCTAAAATTCCTGTAACACTTTTTATGATGTGAGCAAGTCTCAGACTGGATGATTTCGTTACCAGGGAGAGGATAGCATTTAAAGACAGAACATTTGCTGGATTTTAGTCTCCCATACTCCCAATAAACCAAAAGGTCCTTTCTAGAAACCAAGCTGGCAATGTTTTCCTATATTCTAATCTCTGTATTTCTCCTACACCTTTCTCGAGTACACCTGTTGTTGAAACTGCACTCTGTTATTACTCCTCCAATCACTTCCTGCCCGCCTGCTCCTATCTAAATATTCTTCCTGCTGTTCTTTGCAGAGACAGGATCAGGGTACACTAAGGATAAGTTTTGCAAAGGTAACAGAGAAGTCCCAAGACTCATCTGAATGTCCCTTAGCAGTCTAATTATCAGAGAGAAAAGTCCCATTACCAACCCACTTTAGGGACTGGCTTCACCCTCTGCTGACTTTGTCTTCACTGACAGGTGAGCCTAAAGCAATGTTATAATGCCCAGCTCACCCATTATATGATACCATGATTTAGTGCAGGGATGACCAACATGGTCTGCACACCATCCCCAGCATCTGCTGATGCATCAGTTCAACAGAAGAGTGGCCAAATTACCCTCTTCAAAATTACTCCCTCTCCAAAAAAAATACTAATTACTTCTAATTATTTTGGAGGGAGAATAATTCAAAAATCTGTCATAAAAGTGAAAAAGATCCTTTCAGATAATTAAAAGTAGGATCAGAGGATTAAAAGCTCTCCAGAAAAATCCTGGAACAGGTTGTCCCATTCCTTTCCATGACTTTATGACATCATTGGGTTGCCTTCTATAGCCATGTGGACATTTCACAGACTCTCAATGTCTTTTGTAACATGTTGACAAGGGACAATCAATCAGTGGAGAAGACAAAGCACCAAAAGTGTTTTATTTGATGATGTAGGAGATAACGAGTCTGAGCCTGAGGGAGGGGTCAAGTGCATCATCAGCCTTGAGTCCCGTTGTGCCCATAAGAGGTCTAAGTACAGCCCACCTTGAATTCCATTGACTTTTATCTACTGCCAATTTGCTTTGACCATTAGTAGTTCAGATTCTTGTCGAGAGTGTTAGCATGCAATAAACTGTATCTATTTGAACCGCCTTGCCTTCTGATTTCCTGCACTTGACAGGTGATCTGAAAAACAAAGATGTCCTGTTTCTCTGACCTGCTTTTTCCTGTAACCAAGTTAGTGGAGGAAAGTAAGAGTGATTAATGCAGCTAGATAGGCGTTCACAAGGCTAACATCTCGCAGGTCTTACTCAAATATTATTCTGCCTGTCATTGCTTACTTAAGATTGAACTGTGGCTCTTGAAACATCTTCTTGGTTACGCTAGCCCTGAAGGGGCTGTGAGCAGTTCCTTGATGCTCTTCCCCACTTTGTCTCCTCACTCTGCATAGCCACAATGTTAAATATTATTTAACAGGTGGTTTTTTGGTTAACAAGGAACTCTGATAAATTCCCCAAGAGATTTCTGCAAGTCTCCTCTAGCATAATGCTGCTACTGGTCCCACAGAGTTGTGTACCCAGGCCTTCCAGATATTATTCTATGGAATAAATCATAACTAGCTGGCTATATGTAACATTTTGGGCCAAACAAGACACATTTGGATTTGCAATTTGCTCAGCAGCTGGATTCACATAAACCATTAAACTATTATTATTTTATTATATTAAATTTAGAGGTCACCTGGTTGCAAGTGACTCTGGGCGTCTTGCCCTTTAAAAAGCAAGAACAATAAAATAAGAGGATATTGTATATATCTGAAAAGAAAATACATAGCTTACAAAAAAAAAAACAATTAATGGAGGCTCAACATTCAGGGAAACTAGCTAGATTTTCAAGGATTTTTAGAATATCCATCAGGGTGGGAGCTATATCAATCTCTGGGAAAATACTGTCCAAGAAGCTGATACTATGACACAGAAGGCCTATTTCCTAGGTCCCGATAAATGAAAGTACTGTTTAATTAAAAGGATGTATAACACACCCAATGTGCCAGGTCTTAACAGAAACTATTGGAGATAAGCACTCCTTCAAATAACCAGGTCTACTTCCACGAGGAGCTTTTTAGTCATTCATTTATTCATTCATTCAATTTGTGTACCCGCCCATCTCACACCAGTGAGTCTTTGTCTACATACAAGATACACCAGCATTTTGAATAGCATCCTGAAAACCGATAGGTAACCAGTGCAGGTCACAAATTAGTGATGACAGAAGGGGAAGTCCTGTCCTGTCCATCATTGACTGCGCTGACCAATCTGGACCAGCATTACTTCCAAACAATCTTCTAGGATAGTCCCATTGAAAGGGTATTGCAATACAGGTAATCCTTGACTTAACAACCTTTTGTTTAGTGACTATTCAACGTTACAGCGGCACTGTTGAACAAAGTGACTTAGGGTCTTTGTTCACACTTGCAACCATTGCAGCATCCCCATGGTCACGTGATCAAAATTCAAACACTTGGCATGTAGTTATGACGGTTGTAGTCTCCCGGGGTCACGTGATCCTCTTTTGCCACTTTATGACAAGCAAAGTCAATGAGGAAGCCAGATTCACTTAACAACTATGTTATTAACAACTGAAGTGATTCACTTAACTGTGAGCAAGGAAGGTTGTAAATTGGGACAAAACTTGCTTAACAACTGTCTTAGCAATGGAAGTTTCGAGTTCAATTGTGGTCGTAAATCGAGAACTGCCTGTAGTTCATTTGTGAGTTAAACTAGCTGCTATATTCAAATGATATGCTAAACCTGATTAGTTGTGATTACTGTATTTAGATTTTTTTTAATGACTTAGTTGGATGGAGAAACCTGTCCCATTTAATTAGCTTACAATACAGAGGATTGTGCAAAGCTGAAAAATGAATTAGCTCAGTAACCAGGTAAAGGGTATTGTGCAAAGCTAGCTCTTAACAAAGTGGATAGCATATATTGCTGCTATCATTTTGTGTCTGTTTGCTATCAAAATAAGCTATTTTATTGCAGGACAAATCCATTTAGTTGGCCATTCTGGAAGGGAATTAATGTGAAGAGAGGGATAACAAGAAGCTACTTAAAACAGGTTTTATGTTCTTTTATTTTTTCCAGTCTAATAAATGTGGAAATAAATTATGTAAATGGTAGGCACTTTCTTTGTCCACCTGTCAGCAGAATAACTCTCTAAAATAGAGCAGAATTGGGCTGAATTCAATGTGATGGGAAAAGCCTTTAAAAATAAAGTCTGAAAATGAGGCTATAATGAAAGGAAATCAGATATTTTTCCCCGGTAGTAAGAGTAGTTGGCCATTTTTATTTTTATTTATTTTTAATTTTATTTCATTTCCAAAGTATATAGGCTGCTCAGTTCCCAATACTCTGGACAGCTTACAATTATTCTACGAAGACCAAAAAAAAAAAAAAACAACCTAGCAGCACTGAAAAAGATTACTTATGACCAATCCACACCCTTAGGCCCTTCATAGCATCCCCATAGTCACATGGTCAAAATTTGGGTGCTTAGTAGCCATCACGTATTTACAATAGTTGCGGGATCTTCATCTGATCGCCGTTTCAATCCTTCCCAGCCAGCAAACTTAATGGGGGGAAGCAGATTCGCTTAACAGCCAGCTGATTCAATTAGCAACTGCAGTAATTTGCTTAAGAACCATGGCACAAGAAAGGTCATAAAATCGGGCATAACTCATTTAACAACCTCTTGCTCAGCACTGGAAATTCTGGTCCCAATGGTGATCGTAAGTCGGGGACTACCTGTAAAACCGAA